TGAAAAGAAATGACCTGTCACTGTTCTGTGTTTCATGTCTGGAATTATTCTTATACTTCCCACAGCTGTTATACACAAGATTGTTCCAGTCCAACAATTGTTTCCTTGACTACTTACTTCCCAATATAGGGTTCTAAAAGAGATTTTATCACATTTAAAAAAACCCATCACTGTCACTTCCCCAAAAAAACCTGCCCTACTGGGTGATATGGAGCAATACCTAGCCTATCTTATCTACCCTTCCTATAAAGATAAACTACAAAGATTAATAGTCTAGAACATGAGGGCTGTTCAACTGGAATGATTTCGGTGATGCAGATACCAGAATTATGTGCAAAAAACCTTCTGAAAATGGGCTACAAGTAAGTGAGAACAAGAGGGGGGGGAAAAAAAAAAGGATAAAGAAAGTAGAAAGAGGCTGAAAGGAAAATATGTAAAAGAGAGAACAAAATAGAAGAGGGAAGAGAGGAACATAGTGTGGTCTCTGCCAAGGCCAAGCAGTACACTTTAAAACCACAGTTACAGTAAAGCTCGTATTCAAACAACAATGCTGAAACTTTCCGTACTAGGGCTGATGTCTGTATTTGGTAACTGTTAGTTTTAAAGAAAGTATGGTTAACGGTTAAAATGTTTGCTATTATATTTTTCTTCTTTTGGTGGTGCTAGTAAATTCTTATTTTCTGAATTTTTCCTGCACCTCTGCATTTCCTCTCACCAGTTTGCATTCCCAGATCTCATACTTCCCCTGACTTCACTTTTCCTCTAGCGATTCTTCCAACCTGTGCTTCAAATGCTCCCACACGGGTTCTCTTGCTACTTTCTAGATTGCACATACAAGATACTCTTCTAATGGCAGAGATCTTGTAAGGGGAAGATGACAGTTCTGCCATAATTCAGAGAGGTGGGATGTACACACCTCAGACACATGACTTTTCTTAAGTTGAAGCAACCGAACAGGAGTTCTGTATAGTTCCTGAGCAGATCGTTTTCCAGACTAACTCAATGTGTACCGCACATTCATCAGGTGGTGAGTGCCACTGCCTTGGCTGAACAAAGCAGCTACACAAAGAATGGCTTATACTGCACTACTGTATGCCACACAACTCTAATGTTTGAGCTTGTGACTGAAGAGTTAAAGATAAAAGAAAGCAAGCTGTGCATACAGACAACTGGCCTCAAACACTTCCATCTTTACACAAAAACCGTTTTCTCCATTCTCTTTCAAGACTGGTATAAAGAAAAAAATACAGCTACAAGGAAACTAGGATATTATCTGCTTAATGCATGAGTTACAAAGTTAAATACATTGGCATTCATGAAGCGATGAGTACCAGGAACCTTCTGTGATCTTTGTATCTTGTTATCACAAAATAAATTCCTTCATTTCAATCACTTTCAAATAGCGAATCCCTATATCCAGGGACAGAAAGGACCATTGGAAATATTCCCATTAGTAATGCAGAGTTCTCAAAAAAGGTATCGTTTCCTCTCTCAAGGAAAACCTAATTCAAGGTTTGTTCAACTGGCCTTTCCACTGCAGTATATTAAGACAAGTTCATCTAAGTGTCATTTAGTGTCCAAGAGCAGAGAAGGAAGTAGTGGTAGTAGAAACAATAGTCTTTATCGGAATGTATTTTTAGGGTCTAACAAACACACAAGACATCTTAGAAATATTTCCTGTTTACACAGAGCTGTACTATCTATGTGCAATGATACACTGCACATCCTGAGGTTAGCTAGGAATCAGAAGTATATGGAAGTTAAATAAGACTATACTGGACTACATTCCTTGGTAGACATACTTCCTATTTTAAAATAAATTCTCTAACAGCAGGGAATTATGAAGAGTTACCCTTAGGTGGAAATGACTTGATAGCAAATTTATATTAAAACATACAACATTTAAAATACAAAGTATAATGTAGCAGATCTTTCACAAAGACAAAAAAGACATCTCAAATCACACTGTGAAAAAGTGAAATCAGAAGAACCTATTCTTAAAAATTAAGAAAGCAATTTAAGGGGCTTGAGCATTTTTTATAAGGAGAATATCAAAACTTCCTCAATGGCGGAGAGCGGACAGAAAATCCAGAACAGAACTCCATGTGATACTGGACTCATTTAAATGGAAGAAAAAAGAAAAAAAAAAAATTAGATGAATCTGCTTTGTCCAGAAGAAAAATAGTACTTGTCCTTGCCCTTTTTTTTGCAGTCTAAAGCCCTACCACATGTTATTACTGACATATTTCCATTCCAAAATACCGTTGTATCTGCACATGACCAAAGTTTCTTGGAGAAAGGTTACCATGCACGAATTAATCCTCCCCACCCAAACCAATGTGTTCGTCCTCAAATTAATAGAGGCCATATAGAACATGTCACTATCAGGATTTATTTTAGTGGTACATGAAAAGAAAACACATGAGTATAAAAACATTTCCAGTGATTATAACATCCAATTAAAGGTGTTTTAAGAAAGATAAATTTCATCAGAAATTGCATCATTACAGGTCATGGAATAGTTTGAAAAGCTACCATAGGTAACAGTAGTAAACAAAAGTGCTACTGTGTGCATAATACTTAAGAAAGAAGTATACAGTTCTGTGCAGCATCTGTACTAACACACAAGCAGATTCGATCACAGCTGCTGTGGGCATTTTCAGTGAAGTCTTGTGGTTCAAAGGATTAGTTTACAAAATGCAGCTTCTATGTCCAGTGATTGAGAGTCTTACCAGCTCTCATACAACAGTAAGGATCTTGAGTTTCTTGCCCATGTAAAGCAGCTGTATGGCTCCCCCTCTGAGCCGCTCATGAACAGCAGATGCACCCTGATTAGAAGAAACTGGATCCTGGTCCACAATAAATCACCAGCTGTGGTCTGGAATTCAAAGACCACTGTTCTTTGAGCTCCTCACAGAATCTCCTTGCATGGAGTATGGTAATACAGTTACACAAGTAAAATCAGAAACAGAGTACAACTCAAGAACTGCAAAAGTTCTTTGCAATTCAGTAGAGATTTGTCTGATGCCCTAATTGCCATGAAAAGTCACGTATCTAAAAGATTTAGTGCAAAACAAATTCTTATAAGACTGGTACAAATGTGAAAACTGTTTCTAATATTGTTCCAAAGTGTAATAGGAATGTACAAACTGTAAACCTCAAGGCAGTTTTAATCCATGCAGTGAACACAGTATCCTCTGAACCCGCTGTCACTACTTACAATTGGGAAGGGTTCCCAAGACCAAGTATTAAGCTGAGATACAACTAACTAAAACTTAGAGAGGCTAGGTGTCCTTAAATCCCACACTGCAACTATCTAACCAGTTAACCTATGTTATAGTTTCCATAGCATACAAAGACACTCGGAACCCAGAAGATTTTATACAGTGAATGACAGAAGCAAGTAACTGCAAAATAAATGTCATATCAAGGTGTTAACTATCTCAAAAGAATCCTGAAAAAAACTAAGGCTTTGAGAAAAAGAGCAAAAAAGAATCCATTCAGTACTGAAGCAATATTCCAGCATAAACACGCCAACGTCCTTTGCTTTGCTCTTCCACCTGAACCAAATTTTCTCTTTTCCATCCATAACCAACATGACCGTGATTAGTAACTAACTTTACTTATCATACCCAGTTAGGTAGCTCGAAGCTGTGTATCTAGAACATGGGAGACTCACAAGTGCTCTTTTCTGGCACTGCAGTCTGAGATTCTGTGGAATGTTAGTACCTCTTCCAATCCTTTCCAAACGTCTCTATTTCCTCATCAAGAAACAAAACCATTTCTGAAGCTAACTACCTTTCAGGTTTTTAAAGGTACATAATATTTCTTATTCCATCTCCACCATCAAGTGCACAGGATATTTTAAGGTCTAAGCACCTCTAGAAAAACAGAAATTTTGCAGACTGATTGCTATAAATTGAAGAGATTTACAGTTTCGTAGCACAGATTATGCCATAAGAAAGAATCTGTTCCACTCAAATTCCTCATTTACATTATTTCTGTATTAAGTGTAGCAATTATATGGCAGGATGGTATCAAGGAAGTACTTAAATTTGGCTTTAGCTTTCTAAATTCAGTCTGACAACAGAAAACAATCGAGGTTAGTACCATTATCATTAGCTCTTTGCCAACAACTACATCATGCTATGGTCTGCTCACCTATGCTAAAGCATTTCTCAAATTAAGCAATTTTTTTCAGAGACTGTGGGATCCTGGTTAACTCTGAGCCACGGACTAGTATAAAAGTGTTTCCGTTTTACTTTTTTTAAATCAGAGGGAGAAATTGCAAAATTATTTTACAAAAGAAGAATAAATTTTTAAAAAAAAATCAGGAAAAAAGGGTCTTAATAAATGTACCTCAATCTGGAAAATTAAGAAATGGAAAACCCTACAAACAGTTATCAGTAAGGCATGAAGAAAAGGGATCTACTACCAAAGGGGAATTTACATGCTCCAAAGATTCTGTCTTCATGTGACCTGTTGCCACATGTGTTTCCCAAAAGGTAATTAGCTTACATTTGAAAGTCAAATAAAATTTTAAAACAAGCTAACTAGCTGTATCTAATAAATATTTTTTTAAATAACATCATTTAAACTCAAAATTTGGAAATCAGTGATTAAGTGGTTACAGCATAGTAAATATGGTATCGTAAATAAAATATCCTCTACAAAAAAAGAGCAAGGCTAAAAATCTATTACAGATTGCAACTTAGGTGAAATCATTGGATTAGAAACATCTATCACCTTAAAACAAACAGCATTCATGAGATGCTATTTTTACAGTTCTCATCCAGTGTGAGAGAGTTACTCTCCCCATAACAATAAAAATATGTTTCCACAATAAATTATCTTCTATGAGTTTACAAAGTTTCTGAACAACCCTACCTGTCTTACTTGCACTGTCTTACTCCATCTTCTAAGAGTAAAAGCTTATAATCACTAAGACATAAAGAATCATCTGACTCCTGCATTAGGACCACTAAATGCCCTTTCTGCCTTCAGAACTCATCATGCGATTCCAGATTGTCAGGTTTCTGCATCCAACTGTTCTCTTCCTCTGTCAGATCCTTTTCTATTAATGTTCTGTTAGGCTGAATCTAGAAGAAAGAGCAGTAAAAAAATAATTAACACATTCAGAAACACTGTGTTGCTCTATACGATCAATACACTATTATATGAAGGTGTTTTACATACTTGCTAGAAACTGAGAAAATGAAAAACAATGCATCTATGCAGCAATTATGAAATAAAAAAACGTAGTAAAAAAACCTGCTAAAGTGATATCAAAACATTAAGTGTCATGCAAACAGAAAGGCATATGGTGTGTTGTATCCACATACAAATGACAACCATCCTGCTGAGTTTCTGGTAGATATTAAGCTCAGAGACAACAGAAAATACTAGACTGTGCAGTATTTCTCACCAAAACAGCAACAAAAATATGAAAAGTATCAGTGAGATATACCAGCCAGCCCACTACCTTTCATTAGTGTATCCCCTGAGGTAATGGAGTTTCACAATCTTCTAAACCCCCTTCATCCAGCAACAATGCCGAACTTTCATTTCAATCATTCTACAACAAATTAGCACAGCCATGACAGCATGGAAAATTCTGTGCAAACAAAATTATTTTGGCAAAAAGCGCTCATGTAGAAGAAGCAATGCTCGGTTGCTTCATGTAGTCTGTGCAGGTTAAGTCATCCTTTCAGAAATTAAGCAAAGAAGCCTGTTAAATAACTTGAGTTCCACCTGTCTTTCCCAAATTGAAGTGACTAAATATACACGAAGCACTTCTGTGCAAATATACCACAGAATGGAGCACAAAGAGTTCACTTACAATCTGTCAGAAACTTGGCAGCATTTAAGTTGAGTTCTCATCTTTACAGAAACTAGGGACCTAACTGACAGAGTCTGAAGTTCCAAAACTGAAAGCCGAGAGACAGAAAACCTGTTTTATTTCATTACAACAACGTGTTGCCATAATAGCTACTCAGAGTCTTTTAGCATATCAGCAAATTCTTTTACAGGACATTAGTAAGGACATATACTTTTTGCAATTATTTCTGCTGCCACCTCCTCCAGGATTAACACAGCTGCACACACCTATGTCCAGACACATATGAAAGCAAAAGAAAGAAAAATCACATCAACATTAATCAAAGCTTCCAAATATATTACCTGAAAAGGCTGGCTGAGACCAACTATTGACTGCAAATTATTGCTATAATAGCAAAGCAAAAATTCTCCTCCCATATCAGGTATTTCTGCAGCACTCATGTAAACCTGTCAACAAGAATAAGAATAGGCAATATGCAATTTCCGCAGAGAAAGCAGCTTCCAAAAAAGCAGTCTATGCCATTCAGGACACCATAAAATTCAGCATTTACTATTTATAAGCAAATTTTCAAACATAAGCTAAAAAGGATGAGGACAGAAATAACTCATGAAACCACCTGAAAACTAACTCAGGGAGGAAAAGCGAATATCCTTCACCATATTAGCAAGCTGACTTGGTTCAGCAAGAAGCAAGAAGAAACACACAGCTGTTGTAAGGGAAGGGGCAAGGCCACACAAGCAGCAAGGAGGGAGATGAACTGCCTCCTGGTGGCAATAAGCTCTTACATGAAACAGCAGAGCAAATCCACCACCCCCGTTCTGTACCATCCTGAAGTTCCTAAACTGCAGCCCTCAGTATCCTGCTAAAACAACGCCCACAGTGCTTAGATTTTTAAGCTTATTGACAGAAAAGCATGATATCAGAGAAATTTTGACATTGAGAATATTGATACAATACAATTTGGGCTTTTGTTGTAAACTTGATACTAACTGACAACATCTCTATCAATAAATAACTGTTTTCCATTGTTGTCTGGAAAATCTAACAGTTAATTTCATTAACTGTGTCTCCAAAATTAAATTTGAACTTCTGTTTGTTCAGATAAATACCTCTGGAAACAGATCATTTGTATTCAGAATAAGTTTTGTTTGTCTGTTTTTAATTATTTTAGGTAATCACTACTATAAAGTTATATAACAGACAGCAGTTTGTAAAGAAGGACCAAAACACTGAATAGTCAAGATGAAGAAAAGTCTAAGAAACCCTCATCTGTAGCTGTATTAGATATCTGGAACTAACTGTGTTTCTAACATTAGGTACTTATAACTGTAACAAAGATTGCACAATAAATAACTAGGACACATTGAGCAACTTCAACAATCAGATGAAAAAATGGCCAGTTACTTATTTCAGTGGCAGAAACCGACCAAAATATCAAATGACAGTAGTTTTTAATACAGTGAGAAGCCACTACAGGAATAAGTTGCTTTCTCATCAATTCCCTTAAGCAATATGATCACATCTGAGAAGTTGTGCTAGACTACCTGCAAATTAGTAAGAATTAGGAAGACGTATTTTAAACAATAATATCACTCCCCATTAGCTTTGATTGGGAAAGAGGATACAGAACCCACAAGAGAAAAGGGATATGGAACAAACAGACCTTGAATGCTAATCTATGGAAAACTACATTAGAAAGAAATATAATTGGTTTACTTGTTTACTGTCTTTGTTAGAAGAAATTTCATCATCTTCTACCCAAGCATAAGTAACATAGTCATTCACATGCCTGAAAGCCACCTGCAAAGAAAGACGCAAACCATGAGCCCTCTGAAGGAAACAAAAAGCAGACTACATGGAAAACTCAAAGTTGTGAGATGTTTACTGCTTCACTGAAGTAATTAAAACATTTCACTTTTAGGATCAAAACATTTTGGGAGCGTGCACAAATCATTTGTTTCTGAGACAGTGTGAGTGTTCTGTTCTCTCACCCTTCCACTGACTTTCTTTTATTTTTGTTCTTTCTTTGCTGTATAAATCTTTTGAACTGCAGGCATCAGGGGAGGACAATTCCTTTTCATAGCTTCTGCACCATTTTACTTAAGTAAATCACCACATTATCTTTGCAGAGAATTTAAAGGGTGTGAAAGAGCTCACATGCTATGCAACTAAACTGTCAGTACACAGAAACTAACAGCAATCAAGGATACACCGCTACTTCAGAGAGTTTTGTGCTAACAAGAAATCACAGTATCCTATGACAGAAGACAATCAACTACCTCCTCCAGTCATATTCACCATCTTCATTAAAGAACCACGATGTGGTAACATTACCTTGAAGAGTCCAATCCAGTCCCAAGCACTGCTTGGGAATTCAGGCACTGCAGAATAGCTGATTAGAACATCATGTTCCGCGCTCCACTCACCCTCAGGATGCAGTGTGACCAAAGGATCTGATAGAAGAGGCTTCAACTAGACAAAAGAACAGAATTTAAAGTCAGACGAGTCATTCTTTTGGTTATTCTTTTCAAGTTATTCTCTGCACACCTGCTGTGGAACTCCTAACTGGATACAAATAACCTGAAAGCAATTTGCTGCCTTCACTATAATCAGAACAAAACAGAGATTACGACTTACAAAGTTTAGAAAACCAGCTTCTGTAATGCAAGGCTTAGTAAAACAATTTTTTTCTTAGCAACATAACTGGGACAGCACCTCAAGCCCAAAAGTTCCTGTAACAGGTTTGTGATCGCTGATGCCATAGCTCATGTGACTGATATAGTTATTCAAAGTAACAGAAATTGTCTGTTCTTCTTCAGAGAATTCATCTTCTTTTGATGCATGCTGGCAGAGACTTTTCACTCTCCAAAGAATTCTATCAGTCCATGCTGGCTTTCTTTTCTTCTCACTGCAAAAACGTAGGATAAAAGTGAAATAAGAAAAACAGTTGTCAAAAGCTAAGAATACTGTGCAAAATCTACTCAAAGTTGAAAGATTGTCAGATACATATTAATAAAAGAAGGCAATCACATCCAAGCTTCATTTTACAGCTCTGTTCCATATGCTTTACAACCAAGGTTTCCTTAATTTGAACTCAACTCCATTTACCACAGGTAAGTTTCATAGGTTTCTGAGAGGAGTAAAATGAAGGGGAGAAGGGCATTTCAATGGGTTAGTCTGCTTCGTACAGGAAATGATACTTTCTCCTAAAACCCTCCATAAAAACATGCAAGAAAATTGAGATAATACAGCAACTGCCCCAAGCTTCAAATGTATAGTCATTCTGAGAAAAGGGGCATAAACTTAAGGAAGATGTAGGAAGAGACCAAATAATGGTCGAAATTATTCAAAACATTTGACAACAAGCTTCTTTTAACAACAAAAACCAGACAAACTTAGGCAGCTTATACTAATCACAGGTGATGCAGCAATGCTTTAAAGTTCCTCTAACTTGTACTAGCCTGTATTTCAAGTCTGTAAGCCATTGCTGTCTCATAACAAAAGGCTTTAAAAATTCCATAATCAAGAAAGTTGCATCTGCAACCTGCAACTGTGCAATACATCAAACTGTAATTATAATTCAGAGTTTCCTTTTATACCATATCAATAACAACAGAAGACATGAGCCTTTCGTGGTTCTCTCTGTAGTGGGAGGAAGACTTAACAGCAACTCTCTGTATGGATGTATCACTTCAAATTGAAATGGAGAAAAGATCATACCCTATGGAAGAGGAATTAGAATGGACTGGATTGAATTATAAAAGTTAATGAGCAGGATGTGTAAGGAAAACTGTCAGTTTAATAACTTCAAATATCAAAATCATCATGAACTGGAAATGCCATTTAGTTCAATATTCAACATACTTTTGTTTTACCCCTTCCCATACACGTCTGACTCACCTTTAATAAGGTGGAAAAATTTTAAATGACTAAGGGGCCATATCCCACTTACTCCAGTAATTATATAAACCGACAGAAATCTTTATGAGCTGCCATATGTCTGCTCTGCTGTGCAAGAAAATACCAAAAGAACAGCTTAAGTTAATACACTATTTTACAGAAAATGGCATATTAGATGGGAAACAAAACCTCAAAATCCACACTGAAAAAGTAACAAAGATAACAAAATATTGTGTGCTTCATATAAAGCACACTTTTCAAGGGTGCTTGCCTTGTGGTCTACTGATCACCCCCCATCCAACCAAAACACCTCTGATGTTTTACAACAGCAGACTGCACACAGTATGCGTAAGCGTACTTTTTGTTCTTTAAATGAGCCAATACAGATTATTAGGCTATGAATCATTCTTAGAATGTCTAGGTTTGGATTATTATAAGTATTTTTTGTCAACTGGATTTACTGCTAGTCCCATTTTATCTCTTCACACTCAATTAGGGAGCAAAATGTCAAAAGCATAAACTTCCAATATTAAGTGCAACAGCAGAGTAGATAACACTACAGCTTTCAGACAGGTTCAGAAAAATCCCTGAAGAAAATCAGCTGTCATCTGATTTTCAAATATTTCACAAAAATCAAATCAAAAGCTCAGGAAGGAGCATTGTTTTGATTCTGAAATATTTACAAATCTATGAAATCCAGAAAGTTCTCTTCTTACTTAAACCAAAACAGGGACTTCTGCTCTCTGGAAGTAAAGAAAAAGATCAGTACAAAACCCCCATTTGAACAGGAACTTATCCTTCTGTTGAAACATAAGACTAATACTTAATAACAAACTTTAGTGTCAGAGAAAAACATTGGAAACTTAAGCTACTCCATTTTCAACTTACAATGATTTATAAAGACACATTCACATTTATTTTCAAATACCAGCAGTGTCAAATGGAATGCTTAAATAGAGAAGAAAAAAATTGCAATTACTTTTTTTCCTTTTTCTCATTTCTGAGAACCAACGGGCACAAAAGAACAAAGAAAAAAAGAAATGGTTTAAACAAGCGCTGGTTTATTCTGTTAATCTAGTCTTTCCAAAAAGAAAGCTGGGTTGTTTCATTACTTTCCTCATGCAATCAGCAAACTCAGGCTTCTTCAGCCAGAAATACTCATTTATTCAGATCTGAGCACTGAATGAGCCTAATAGAATAGCTCGACAGCCTCAGTTAACCAGTACTGTCAGGAAATTCAGGTTTGCTTCCTGAAGCGATATTTAGTCAAGCATCACATTCACTTTAATATTCCATGTCTAAAGTCATCTTATTATGCTTTTACCTTGTATCATATACATCCGAATAAAGGTCAAACTTGTAGGTGGGTTTAAACTGTAGAGGACCCTCTATGAATTCCTGAAGAAATGTTTCCTTCTTTTTTGCCATATTTAACTGCAGAAATAAAAAGTAACTTTTAAAGATTATGTTTAAAAATCAGAGCTTAAAGGGCAATTGGGAAAGGAGCTGAGAAAGCATCTTCCAAGAAGAATTCAACATCTCAGTCAGTACAACATATTTGGAAAGGTAAATTCAGAAGTGCCTCTTTGTTACTGTTTGCTGTACCAGAAATGTAGCAGCTCTACTTAAAACAAATTCCAGAATAAGCTGCCCTTAAAAATAATTCTTGGGAGAAGAAAAAAGGAGGATAAATTAAGGTGAGGATCAATACACAAGCCATAAAGTTCAAAGAAAGCTTCAAACACAAGCATTGCAAATGACAAAGAAACTAAACAAAAGCAGAAAAAGTTTGCAATTAATTGGGGCTTATGACTGAGAAGCGAGACAGCAAACAGCTAGATCTGCTCCACCTCATGACTACGCTGAATTTGTGTTCTTTAACAGAAATTAGAAACTCAAGAGGTAAAGGTAACTACCATGTTGTGTTTGTATGCATTAAAACCAAAACAAAATAAACAAACCAAGCCCCCAAACAGATGAAAACAACATACCTGGTCCTTTTCCCACAGCAGATTGTAACGCTTGTTATTTATTGATTCTCGGACAAAATGTATGCCATAATCTGCTATCCGGAAGTTTAGATCTCCAAACCAGAAAAGAACACTAAAAAAACCCAAACAACCCACAAACAAAAAAAGCAAAAAACCAAGAAAGATTTATAGGAATCCATTAACATGAGGAAAGATTTCAATAGAAGACATTACGCTAATTAGGTGCTCTAATCACTTATGTTACTTAATCTAAACAGCTTAAACACAAACATTAAGTAGTTATAGATAAGTTTACACAGAGATAACCTGCTGCTAAACAAAAAATTTAAAGGAATTGAAATAGTAAATTAAGTTCCTTGCATTCTTGCCACTTCTTCATTACTGCCTGGGTATTAACTTCTCCCAAGTCTCCTAATGACTTACATCTCTATTAAATTTTAACAGTAGGTAAAATAATTCACAAAATTCATGACCCATACACCAGTTAGTTATGTTAATGCACTAAATCAGAGCTCTAGGTTAGTGCCTTGGGAAAGCAAGGATACATGTTAGGTGTTCTACAGTTATTAGGAAAGAAAATTGTTGTTACAAAGCACTGGAGTGTATTATCAGCAATGTTTTAAACAACAAGAAAGCCGTATTTTCAAGTGAATTAATTGCTCTTTGAAAATCCCTACTTTTAACGTTTTGTTCAGGGACGGATACCCCCAAACTTGATCTTATGGAAATAAGAGTTTTATTTTAATGCCATTTGTAATTTCGTCCTGGAAGATGACAGGAGGTGATTTGGTACATGCCCATGCAAATAATCAAGAAAATGAAACACATTAAACTGAATGTCCTGGTTTCAACAGGGATAGAGTTAATTTTCTTCCTAGCAGGCTATGCTTTGGATTTAGGAGGAGAATAATGTTGATAACACACTGTTATCAACACTGTTAACACTGTTCAGTTTTTTTCTGCTCCTGTTGCTGGCCTGCCAATGAGAAGGTGAGGGGCACCCAAGAAGCTGGGAGGGGACGCGGCCAGGACAGCTGACCCAAACTGGCCAAAGGGATATTCCATACCATATGATGTCATGCTCCATATATAACTAGGAGGCTGTCTGGGAGGCAGGGCGGCTTGGGAACTAGCTCTAGCTGAGCATCAGCTTCAGGTAGTGAAAAATTGTGCTGTTCATCACTTGTTTTGTGTATTTTTATTATTATTGTTGTTGTTACTGTTTTCCTTTTCTGTCCTATTAAACTGTCTTTACCTCAACCCATGAATCTTACTTCTCCCTTCCCCCCTTATTCTTTCTGATTCTCTCCCCCATCCCACTGGAGGAGGGAGTGAGCGAATGGCTGTGTGGTTGTTTCAGCTGCCTGTCAGATTAAACCATGACACTGAAATATCAAACAACTTATACTAATGTACAAAAAGTAATGATTTTGAACCTCATGTGTCATACATCTTTACCTAATTTTAATGAACTCATTAGCAACTGAAGTGATATTACTTATCTATTTCAGATTTATCTGTCCTGGCAGTTTTATGGGTATAAAAAAAATTATAAAATTATCAAACTAAAATGTTTTTTCTCACACCTTTTTTAGGTGGTTCTATTACCATCTTTAGACTCCACCACATGAAAACAACAGAGCATACAAATAATTCCCGCAGAATTAAGGAACAAGAGCTCAATTGGTGGCCCAAATCAGGATTGTTTTGGGTTGGGTTTTTTTTGTGAGACACCTGAGGGAAGTGTAATTCATATAGCTACAGAAATCATTGATCAAGGTTGTAAAGGCTGAGAAGCCCTCAGCCAGATACTAAAATTACAACAGGAATAAAACCAACCCAAAACATAACACAAATCTCCTCAAAAAAGGGAGGAAGATAAACAGTGATCTAAGGGATTTTTTTATATAAACAGGCTTTAGCTTCTAAAGCTCTCCAACACATCACATGGGCAGTACATGTGCTAACAAATTTAATGTAATCCAAGACTGGAAGAGGTCTTGCAAAATAAACCTCAGGTTATCTTTTCCTCCCAGGATTCAGGGTCATGGCTGAAAAGACGTTTAAAATAAAAACAGTGGATGAAAACTCCAAAATCAAAACTCTTCAGTGCATGAGTTTACCATACAATAGATAAGAACAACACAGACAGAATAGAGTCTGAACAACTCACTCATGATCCAAGGCATTTGGAATATTCTCTCCTTCAAACTGCATTTCCAGAATTTTCTCAAAGTCATCCAATCGCTGCTCTGTGTTCTCCATGTGAGCTGGCAAGTGGCAGTTCATGAAACAAATTGTATGACCATAGAGGGACATGCGAATGGTGACTCCTCCTTTGTTCCCCTGGTGTGGAAGATTAACAACGTTCTCTGAAGCTACAGTCAACACCTGCAAATCTATTACCACCACCTATATATTTTCAAATCTTGCTATTTAGATTAAAATTAATACAATTTCTTCCTACATAAGGTGGTGTATATCAGCTAATAAACTGGTGAAATTATGGTCTGTGCTGCATACTTGCAAATAAGGTTCAAACAAGTCAATCTGCTTGTCAGTTTATTCATTTCTAAGTAAACCATATATCCTCTCTCCCACCATGAAACCATTCAGAGGCACACACCACCATAAGCGACCAAGGCAATCAAGTCTCAGATACTTCCTTACCCAGTATCCATACAGGCCTGTGCGTGTGTAGTGGGTGTGAACGTCCCGTATGAAAGGAAGGTGGACGTGCTTCACAAAGATCAGAAGTAGTAATCCCTGCATGCGAACAGAGGAGAGCTGGAAGAGACAGGAAAGACGGCCTGGTCATTTCCAGGGAGGTATTCGGAATTCCTTGGGTCTACTTCATAGGAACTTTTAGGAGCAGAACGCCATAGCATAAGTCATGCAATTCCCTTGCCAAGCCTGTCTTCAATACTGTGACACAGTAAATGCAGATGCATTTCAGTGCTGTAAAGAATACATGCTTATGGTAGACTTGCTTATAAACAATTTTGATGAATCTCTCAACTAATTAACATTAGTTGTAACAGTACGTTACAAATCTGAAGCTGACCTCAAAACATGTGTATTTGCCCAAACATCTTTAAAGACCTTTCTTCTGCCTCTTGTTTCTACCTTTAAGCATCCTGTTCATTAGGAACCAAATCCTTGATTTTTCACTTCTAATCGTAATAGTGCACATGTACAGGTCCTCCAATAGGAGCAAGTTTTTCAAACTGAAACGTCCTTTAGCATATAACTAATCATTCTAAATGCCATTAAAACGCCTAAAAAGCACAGCAGTTAGTCCTAGGCAATTGCAAAAACAATGAGCTGCAAATAGCAGTAACTCTTGCCTGCAATGCCTGTAAAAAATGATTTACCAAACACATCCAAAGCAAAGGTGCTTAGGGAACATGAAGACACTGTTTAAGCTTTAAGATACTGGGGGGTTTTTGTGGTTTGGGGTTTTTCTGTGTGTGTAAATAGTCTAACAAAGATGTTCTTTGTTAAAAATTTATGAACTTGACAATGTTCCTGGCATGAGACACACAATTAATTGTGTTTGTTTTAATGGTAATGATTCAATTTAAAAATACAGACACTGAAATACAATACTTGTAGTTCAATTTTATTCTGGATGAACTCAGAAGAAGACTACATTAGAATAAAGCCTGATATTAAGAATAGCACTGACTATACAACTGCTGGAGACGAACACAAACTCAGCCCAAAATTTAAAACACAATTCCTCCTTTCTTTGCCCCCACATCTACACAATTAAATTATTTCAGAATATATGGTAATGTTTTCATTGTTCTTCAACCCAACAAAATACTAAGCAGTGTATTGAAATGATGGATCTCAATTACTAGATGATGCATAAATATTTGTATCTGAACAGACATTTGGTGTAACCAGTATTCTCCTTTCTATAATTATGTTCATAGATACCAAGACCATTCAGTACCTTTATTATTTGCTACATTTCATTCTACTGTGGGCCAGTCCCCAGACATTTCTCAAGATCCATATGAAACCTTTTCTCTCTGTAGGTCTTGAACATCAAAACACAATGGATCCCTCCTCTGCTGGAACTAGCACTAGCCCCACTGACATGCAGTGCCAAATCAAGCAAAGGCCTTTCACAGTGGGGGCGTGATTCTGTTTATGGTGAAATAATTGACTGACTCCAACCAACCTAACACTCTGAAAATGGACCCAAAGCCCCAAGGATGACAACTACCCCTCTACACCCAACCTTGTCACAGGTCAGCAAAGAAGGGGTAACTGTTCCTCTCCTCCTCAGCCAACTTCCCAGAGAAGTCCTAGCATAAGCTCTCCTCACTGCCTGTTTTGATTTTGACCTGGCCTGACAGTACCCTGTTATTATTAGAGCTAATCAAGTCCTGCTGAAAACCATTAGGTGGCAGCATCCATTCATTAGTGTGTCCAAAGTGTCACATTTATAAATTAGAATTCAAAATCAACCATGCATACCACTAGGAATTCTTTTTAACTGTCTGCATACAGGGCCTGAATGTCAGCCTACAGCCAGATTTTGAATGTTCATCAGGAATGACTTACACTAGAATGAATGATTTTTTTTTCTTTTTAGAATTCCCAATGGGTCCTTTGTTTTGTTTAATTACAGTTAAAAGAATGGCACAACTACTGAGTCTGATTAGCATACAGATAATACGATCATCTCAGCAAAATAATGCTTGACTTAGAAAACGAATACAGCATCCAAAAGGCTTTTAATATCTCTTTGCTAGAGACATTTGGAATATCCTCCTATGCCTACTGTTTGCATTATTAAAATAGCTAGTACTTTGGCTGATCTTATGCCCCAAATATTACCAAAACCCTTGTCAGTTAAACTACCATACAATGTTCTAGGCCTTCAATCAAAATAAAGTCCTCGGAAATATATATATATACACACCCTCTAAAATCCTGTTTTACATATATGCAATTTATTTTCACCTATAAACAAGTTGGGGGGGGGGG